TGTATCCCTCTGGAGGTTTCAGATTGAGTTGAGACACTTGAGGGCGCACCCTGAAATACTGCACGAAAATTCCTATGACTTCCTGAAGAACCCCTTCTCTGTCTTAACTGCCACAAATATGGTTGTATTGATGAGGCCATTGTATATTTTCAAGATGACTATGTCAGAAAGGAATTCAAAGTGGCCTGACGGATCCATTGAGTGCTGCACAACCAAACATTAGTTTTCGGAATGTCAGGTACCAAGTGCCTTCACGTCATGCTACAACAATAACACCTTAGAAACACCGGTGACAGTCTCAAATCCTCCACTTACGGAGACCAAGTCATCGAATCACATGATTAGTTCAGTTTACCAGTTATAAACCATGTACCATAGGCACAATGGTTCCAGCCGCTACAGTTTCGATCACCGGAAAGAGTCAGAGCATGGGGCATACAGCCAAGCCTTGGGGGCGATGGCATGTTCATTCGGTTCGGGAATTGGATGGCTACGCAGCAATGGTGATAGATTCCATGCAACAGTGCCACTAACTGGCCAACTAGGCAATTTCTTCCACTATCATTAACCAATGGAGAGCTGAGTCCCGGGGTTCCCATTCAGGGTGGGGGCGGCAGTTGTCGACCGGTCTAAGCTCCATCCAACTGGTGTTCCATTTTTTGTTCCGAATCTTTTGCAGTATGGTTGTCGGACTACTCATCAGGAGTCGAAGCTCCATCCGACTGGTGTTCCGTTTTTTGTTCCGAATCTTCTGCAGTATGGTTGTCGGACTACTCATCAGGAACTCGCCGTCCTATTTGAAGAGTGCGGCGTGCAGACAATCTGGGTTAGGTGCCTTATCGCGTTGAGGGAGTGAATTGGGGTTCCGTCTTTTTGCACAGCTTATCTTCTTTTGACCGGTGGATCGACTCAGCTAAAATGGGGTGCGGCTACTGCACGCAGCGAACGCCTTCTCCATCTTCTGGGCTTCAAAATCCACTAGGTTTCTTTGTCATTATTCAAGCTACTGATCATCTGGTGTTTGAGGAGTCTACATCCACCATCACGACCGCTAGTTGCTGGTATGGCCTTCCCAACTGCAATAAGATTTGCTTATCTCGACGGTATCCAGTGTTCATTTATTAGACTCAGATGGCTTGAACAAACCATTCTGAAAGCTGAGAGTAGAGCTTCTTCGATTCGCTTTCATTCAACCTCCAACTAATCTTCGTCATCTGTATGACTGTGCGTTTTCAGTAGCTTTCTCGCCAGATCAGCTCGATACTTTTGAGCTACCGAAACTTGTCGAAGTTAATAAGTAGAGGAGCTCTGCTTTGGAACGCGCAATGCCAACGGAAAGATGAGTAATACCCGGGACTACACAATGGTGTGATCAGAGTCAAGTTGCGCACTCCATAATGAACGAAAATCCTCAATTGAGGCTCTCCACCAGTAACTGATAGTCACATGATCTGCTTGAGTCCATGGCTGTCTTGAGGTTGGTGGCCTCCAAATAACTCGAAGTGAGTGTCCATTTTGGAAGTTCGTACTTGTCAGGAACAAACAATGATCGGTATACAACTAGAGCAGTCGCTTTCTATCATCCGTAGGCTGTGCATCAACTCAAAATCAACCACCTAATTGTTTCTTCCATACCTAGTCATCCAACTTGGGCATTCATGTCGCTCACCAGGATTTTGTCTGTTTTTCTTGCCGATTGAAGCAGTCATGATAAAGTTGTTACAAACCGTCCTTCTCAGTCTCATAGCTGCAGTCTGTCTGGAAGTGTGCTGATACGAAAAATGAACATCATTTTTTGAATCGACCTGCACTGATGTTAATCGAGCCAGACAAGCACACAGCACAAAGACAACTGTTGGTTGATCAGATTATAATTGGTCTATTTGCCGAGCTTGGCGAACAGATCAACTACAATCTGATCAACCAACAGTAAATAAACCCGAGCTACGGGGATTTCGACAGATCCACAACAAAGACTACTGTTTACTGGGATCCAGTTCAGTAGGACAGTTTCAACCTTGGGGTTGAAACTCCCACACCGTAGAGCCATGGATTCAGAATCACCGGGCACCCGAGGAGGGAAATATGGAACATCCCAGTTCGTCCTAAATAGCTTGAGGTGCAAAACCTAAGCGGGGTCTTGTACGCGTATTTCGGAAAGACAACACATTGTCAGACGGGCAATTAATGCCTGTTGCCCAATTTGACAAAGGGTACGGATATTGAAGGCCGCGACGTGGATTAGATCTCTTGTAGGTGATTATTTCCGTCTACTTTTGGGGATAGTTTAGACGCAGAACGGTGGATAGGGAACTGGCAGATGGGTTGATCGCACTGCATCGTTCCATTGGCGGCGGTGTGGAGTAGTCCGGTGGGCGAGGAGCTGCAGGAGCGAACGATACATCCGGGTTACCAAAGCCGAAGAAGAACGTTTCGTCGAAGTACCCCACTTTGAGCTTTTGACTAAAAATTAGGCGATCGGATTGTGGTTTTTAGGGCTGATTTCTACTAAGCCATCCTTCCTCGGAGGAAATCGGCATCACTGCCTCCATAAATAGGGACACACTGGTCGTCTGGACGAAACGCCTTACTGCCTTCGCACTCCTATTGCACAGGATACTACGTATTTACCTCCAGACCGCCTCATAATAAATTTTCTTGCATTACAGGGACTCACGGTTCTTTGTCGGGCTGCTCACCGTTGGTATGGCTGACCGTTTAGAAAATGATTTCCAGTCAGTGGTGTCATGGCAGCACAGAAGCCTAAAACCAAAAGCTGACGGCTCTAGGTCGGTAATAAGGCCAGTACTGTAGCCTAATACACACGATCCTCGAGAACGAATCACATAACTTCTTGGCGAATTTGAGACGCACGCAGTGACTTCATCAGGCACACATCCATCGGATCCTTCTTGAGTGGCATTGGGCATGTTGAAAGACTGTAAATCTGAACACGCGAGGTGCATGCTAAAATGGTATAATAATGGTTGTTCTATTCAGTAGTGATTCCGCTTTCCATTTGCCCACAGAGACTACGTATGCATATTTCAGAACGAAAAGGTTCTAGCTTATCAGTGACGACTTGAGCACCAGAGTTTCGAGGGCCTTCTAGCATGCAACTCATTATTTTATCAAGCAAGGAACAAAAAAATTAGTGGTCTATTTCCACCATGATCAGAGGTAGAAGTGCGCAATGCTATCCGACTTCGAGCTCAACATTCAAGTAACAGTTTTCAGATATTCATTTACGGCTTGCACTCCTACCGCGTAATTTTTACGACTATAGAGCAATGATCGGTCTTGAAAAGGCAAACCATTTCGTGTTTTGTCCTGACAGGGGATTACCATGTGGGTGTAGTGGTGCTCGATCGCCTAATGTTCAGGTAACCTGATAACTATATTCCGAAATTTTGGCACGTTCACAAAAGCAAACGAAAATCATTTTAATTCATGTGCGCTCGGAATACATGTGACCGAGTGGGATTGAGGTTACGAGTGTGAACTATGAGTCGGAACATCAGGTGACCGCATTCGACCTGCAGATTCCCTTGCAACACAAGGATAAACTCAAAAGTTTACACAGCATATCGTCTACTGAAGAAACCCAAACCGGGGATGCTCCAAATGTGGCAGAGCACTTTTACTATTATTTAGGTCGCCGAAAACCCGCACAGTTCAATCACCAACTAAAATGATTGTCAACGAACACGAGAGAAACTTCTTACCCGACAAATCACGGTATACTAGGGTGATTAGTGCCCGGCTCCTAGTTCACCAGACAAGGTAGACCACCAGATCATCACCAGCCTCACCCATCCAGGATACGAAATATTTGTCTTTGTACTCTTTGTACTTCTTGAGGACGACTACAAGGAGTAATCAATGGAAGCATCAGTGGCACTTCCTCAGGTCCCACCGCCACACTTGAAACTTTTCAACAAGCATAAATGCCGCCTGTAGTGTTAAATCACCTCAACATAACAGTCATTGATTTCGGGACTCGATTGTTTGTAACCCGGACAAAAAGGAAATCCCGGTACGGGAAACACGAGTCCTGACCGATAAGATATTGCTATGTAGCGGTTGTCTTGGTAAAAGGTTGCAATGTATTGACTTCGTATCGTTCGACCGTCAGTAAGGAGTGGAGGAATTCAGTCTCCGATTTTCGTGGATACTATTTTCTCACACGAGTAACCGAACATCTGTCAAACGGCAGTTCCCGAGCACTGGGTTCTCAGTCATCCGGATATTTTCGGGCCGCGTTTATTGAGGAGCCATGACAGCATTAGTCAGATCAATGCGAGTTTACACCCGTTCTGAGGAGCGTCATAAAAATAAGATAATTGTTCATCTGTAAGACTCTTTCGGTGCCTCGCTGTCATGCCGCCCAAAGGAAGCACGAGAGCTGGGATACTGTCAGGCTGCCCGAGCCTAGATAGGGAAGTCGAGGGGCGAATGTCAGGTTCGAACCACAGACCTTCCGGTCAGTAGATTCGCGCTCTAATCACTGAGTGTTGTAAGAAGTTACCATGATGAATGAGATTCCAATTAGTGAGATCAGAACCCTTAATGAAAATACCGACTGGCAGAGGCAGCATGTCACCTTCTACCACGATGAATCGATCACTAGTCCACCTAACAGCTGCATTATAGGGGTGACCAAATGAACTCCGGCCAAGACAACACGTCATCTGGCCACTTGACTTTTTCGCACCCTTATTCATGTTCGTACGATTTGTGAGAACCAGACTCATTCAACGCGCGTAACAGAAATAACAAAAATGTAATCGAAAAAAACAAGGACCAGTGCGTGATAGTCATTGTTCTCTTTAGTGTCAAGTCCTTCGCTCGGTTAATTTTTCACATCATTCTCCCTCCCACTCCGTATTTTTCAGATGCATTGCACGACGATTGAGGCTCACACATTTGGTTTTCGATTGACACGACGACGCAGCGCATACCTGATTTTGCTGGGTTGCATTCTTTTAGTCTTCTATTACATGACATGGGACGACCTGAAACCAAACTGCCAACTGCCACAATCGCTGGGAGCCGAACGCTTCCTGGTTCGACCCACTTGCACTCATGAGTACTTACGGTTGCTTCCCAATCTCTCAAGGCTCGAATGGCCTATTGCGAACTATGCACCGCAACCGCAAGGATTGAAGCTGCCCGATGGAAGGGTCTATCGAAACCCGACACCATTTGACCCTGTTATGAGCCGAGGACAACGGGCACTAAGTAAGCGACTCCTATGTGTAATCACCAACCTGTTATACGCAAACAAAATGGCCGATCGATTTTTTCTCACAGGCGCGACATTGCTTGGTTCGCTGAGACATCATGACTTCATCCCGTATGACGATGATGTGGACATACTTTTGGATGAGACAGTTAAACCTATCGTGCAGAACTTGACCGGATTTTTAGAACCAGAATATATGGTGTACTGGGGTAGTGATAGAGCGAAGTTCTTTACACGACCTGTAGCTCCACAAGAAGAACATCAAGATGTGGAACACAGCAGACATCTGTCGCAGCATCCGTGGAATTGGCCTTACGTGGATATTGGCTATTACAATGTGAACAGTACTCACGTGTATGAAGTAGCCGAATGGATGGGTAGGAAATTAGTGTGGCCCAGATCTGTTGTTTTCCCTTTGCTTTACCGTCCCTTGGGAATAAATTGGTTTCCTACCCCATACAACAGTATTGGCTTCATTCGTCAGGCGGTGGGCATCGTTGCAAACTGTACGGCATCCGGATACAGTCACTCATTCGAAGGGGGCGAAAAACCTGGCAACAGGCCATGCATCGAGTTAGCCGGCCGATATCCCTTTGTGGAACATCAAACTATGAGAGACGGACCAAGAGTAAGAATGCAGGACCAAAGATCAAAGGACAAGGTATCAACAGAACTGGTGAAATCTCAAGAAAGTTTGGTGATCCTCCAAAATCAGTCATCTACCAAGCACCTTATACATGAACTCGTCCTTTATACCCATGCCGATGTTGCCACTCTCGATACTTATGATTACGGGAAGAATGCTCGCCCATAGAAGTCAACTTCTTGCAAGAAGAAAAAGTAAACGCGTGTTTTGCATTGAAACTCGGCTAACAGAATACTTATTCTTGTGATTTCGGCTATGTGCGTGATATGCTTCCTAAGTATTCAATGAGGATTAATCCATACCAAGTAACCAAGTTAACAGTCCCGCTCTTGAAAGTTCTCCAGTTGTCGTGAAAAATTTCAGACACGCCTTTTTTTGGATTAATATAATGTATGTTTACTCAAGCGTTTTTCACAACGAGGATGGGTGTTTTGAAATTTGACATTCCTCAGACAACAGCAACCTCGCTAATACAATTCTTTTCACCAAAAAGGATGGTTTTGATATTAAGGTCGATAAATGGCTCCTATTCAGATTAAAATTGGATTTACCTCCAACACATTAGGACTGGAGCTAATGTGACTGACTAATGAGAACGAGACCACGTGGAGCGAAAAACGATCACTGCTACAAATACGTTTAGGCTGTTCATAACAGTAAACCTCCAACTTAGTCAAGCACTCGATCTCACAGCAGTTCTGCTTTGTGCTACCAATTTCCCAAAACAAAAATCAAATGCCGGCACGCCGCCCTTCGGCTTTTCAACACAGGTTGGCCTTAGTTGCAGGTCGAAACTTCATAATTGTGCGCATCATCTGCAAAAGAGACGAGCCTTAGAATATGCTTCAATGGTATATCGGTCGACTAAAAGTGTTATTTCCAGGGACGCAAAACGACGCTGAGATTCGTGTAAAGTTGGTGCTAGATGTGCCACTTCACAACTTCCTACCTGGCAAGACCTTTCTAGTCCGTGCGAATATTGCAGGCAGTTTAGATCAAGCAGTGAGAATCAGTATAACCGCTCTTAATGGCATATACCGATAACGCAAGATGGAAAATTTTTTTCACAGCATTAGTGGTGTCACAACTATCGCCGGAAAAGTGAATCAACATATCAAAACCCATCATCCCAGACTGACCATCGCTGCCCCGCTACCATGCCACCGGAAGGAAGCACGAAAGCTGGGATGCAGTCAGGTTGCCCAAGCCTAGACAGGAGCATTGTAGATGCTGGATTGATGATGGAACTAAAAACCTTCTGGTCAGTATGTTTGCACCTATAGAACTGAGATATCTCGAGCCCTGACATCGATCAGCAGCCACTCCTTTCAGCGTCACCAACCAGCCGCAGTGCGCATCACACGGTCCCCACCCTGGAAGGTGAGTAGCGCAGACTATACCCAAACGCTTCGTAATATCTTTCACACCACTCAAACAGGTCAAGGGTTGGCCACTTCTCTACTTCCACTACTCTGAACTGGCCAGGGAAAACAGCACTTTCCGGCAAATTATGGTTAGGCCTTCCAAATGCATCTTCTGGTGCTGGACATATTCTTCGATGGAAGTACCCGCTGCACAGCCGAAAACTCGTTTTACAATTGACTCGTCACGGATTCACCGACACCAACCCATCTGAGCTAGGGCTCTGAGACAACAATTGTTGAAGACCTGAAGGCGTCTCAGTTCCGCTGCTCAAACAGGCCGGGTCTCAACCACAAAACAAAACAGCCCATACTGTAGCCTCACGCACATTTCCCTTGAGATTCGGAACTAATACAATTTCTCAGATACGTAAAACGCTAAACAAATGTCAGTGCCTCTCCCTGGATTGTATAAGGCATGTCCAGGAGCATGGACTTACACTTTGTGGGTGCAAAAAGCATCCCAAAAAGCAGGATGGCTTTGAACACCTGCGCCTTCTTCTCCTTTTCAAAGGCGAGAACAATGTCGTCTGCATATTCCAGATCGACAAGGTTTGAGTCAGCAGCTATCTGAATACCGGAGTTTTTAAGACGTTCAGTGTTCTCTTTATTATCTCATCGATCACGAAATTAAAAAAGAATCGAAAGAGTGGACACCCCTGATGGACACCGCGTTGCGTACGGAAGCTCTTGCAGAGCTCTCCATTTACGATACGTGCGACACGAAACTCTTGATAGGCGAGCGTACCAAGGAGAACAGACCAGTTAACCGAGTCAAATGAGCGTTGGAAATCCAGTGATACTAAAATTGTGGGTGGTTTGTACGTACGACTTCGTTCTAGCACCTGACGAGGTGTTAAGTTTAGGTCAAAGCAACCCACACCAGACCGTAGTCCTACTTGCTGCTCTCGAATTAGTGTTTCACGCCACTGTAAGGTGACAAAGAACAAGTGACACCAAAAGTCTCGGAATCAAGCTGATCCCAGTGTGGTTGCTCGACTCACTACGAGCCCTTGGTTTGAAAATAGGCACTATCACGGATTCTCCCCACTTGTCTGGGATAAAAAGCGGTCGGAAAAATGGTTTCTTGAATCTGCGGAGGCTACCGTGTAGAAAGCTCCAACTCAGTTACCAGACAAAAGTCCAGTATCAAACATCAAACATAAGGAGCTGACAAAACAGCTGTAAGGTATTATTTATGTGGAGCTAGTATTTCCCATTTAAAGGGAAGTCATCGAGAAAAAGAAGCGAAAAACCGTGCAGAGGGGGGTTGTACCCTACAATCGCAAACGTTCCAACGGACTAAAATAAAATCGCAGCCTACTTATTACCGAATACTTTAGGTAGTACAAATAGTTCCCAACTGGGAAAATCTGTTTGATTCACATGGTGAGCTGTCTGTATAATTGTTGTGCAGGTTTAACACTTTGAAAGTCGGAAAATAAACCGCCAGATGATGGCGCACTCTAATAAGCGTGTGATACACGGAGATTAAAAGAAAACTATGGATACTTCCTCTACTACGCTCTCCTTCGCAAACCAGTCATAGATTGGTCTCTGCCTATATTCAAATTGTGGCGACAGTTCGGTTCCAACATGCCGAAAATTGGCGACGACAGTATTTACTTAACATTTCACTCAGTAAGACATCAGTCATCAATTCACTACGCTAACTAGTCGGATTACCTGTTTGTTTTGTACCGGTTGTAAGTGTGTTAGTCCAATCTATTTGCTCATATGCATGCCAAGAAACGAATTGTGATATTAAACACCACAGCCACCGACACACTCTAGTGGAATGAGATAGATTTAACGGGTCAGGAGTACCACACTGCGTTGCGTCAACCCGTTACACAAATTATGTTGCCAGTCTTACTGTGATCGATGACCTTCACATGGAACTGGACGTCATATTAACTGAAGTCATATACATGCAGATACCGAAATATCTCACATCCAGCTCGTACTTTCCACGGCAGCGCCAAAGCATGAAGACGGGCTCTTAGGCTACAGCTGGCTTCCCATCACGAAGCAAACGGCTGTGTCAACCTTGTGGCTTGTTTAACATTAGCATATACTACTCAATAAGAGATCAGTAGCATAAAAAGGAGCGAAGCAGACTGACCCACAGTCAGCTGTACGGAGCACGCGTAACCAATCTACGCTCTATCCGTCGTTTCCACTATGCGCCCTCTACATGGATCTTTCACTGTGTTGTTTTATCTCCTCCAGTACGCGGGAATAAACCATACTCTGGAACTGGGCTCAAGACCTCACACGGTGGTTGCGCGACTTGCAGGGTTCGCGTTCACATTACTTCCGTTTCAACAGTTCTCCTCAGCAATGTGATTGGTTTGCTAAGCGCCTCGGACGATGACCCAGTAACTGCCCCGGTTGTGTCGATTGACCGACACGTTTATCAGTACTTCTCGACACGGACGCTCGAAACCTGTTGGACAAATTTTCACGTCCGAGGTTCAAACCCCGGCAAGGCAGAGGATATGCACTGCTGATGAGCGCCAATAACAGTGAAACTTCCCCTTTGGTGTGTATTCACGGCAACAATTGCTCCAGGAATGGAAAAGGATTGTCTAAGTGAATGTGATGTCAACCCCATTCCCACAAAGAGAACTGATGAACCGTTGACCAAGCTATAATCCCTACCACACACACAAATATTTCCGCTGTTTCGTTTTAGTGTGGACACTTCTAGCACAAGGATGTAGTGGATAGGAGTTCCTCGGGAGACACTAGGAGTCGGCCTGTTGATGTTTCATTATAGTGCGAGTTACGTACAGAGACGGGACTGAGAACTCGTCAGTTTGGTAGACCCAGAGAGAAGCACTAGAAAGGTTGAATAACGGGCTCGTAAAGTTACATCACCAGGTTGGGAGGCAAACCCACCCGAAAACTTATGATATGAAACCGAGCGGCATAGAGTGAAATGATCATTTCCGTGCAGGAAATGCATAAAACGAAAGCCGTGTGCAAAACAGACAGAGCAGTTAAAATAAAAAAAACTGGCAGCTGTTCAACTGGTTCGGTTCATCACCGTTTGTCCAAGATGGTAGCAAGTGCAGCGTCCGAATTCATGTGCGTGGAGTCTATTTTGGTCATATCCAGACCAAGGTTTGACAATGCACCACGTAGACATTTCTGGTAGGCTTTCAGTTTCTGACCACAAGGATCGACGGAATAGCCATGGAGGAATTTCTCGAAGAACTCTTGAAAACAGGCATCATAAGCCGTCTTCAATGAATCACATTCAGGAGCGAGACTTCGCAGTTTGGTACAAACAAGTTCTTCATGGTCAGCATTGGCTGTATTATCAGCTGCAGGATCAGACTGACTCATTCACTGTCACTGGAACAGAACACGAGACAGAAAACTGAGGTGAACTGAGAGGCGGTGACTAATTGAGCTCCAGAACATAAAACCACAAGGTATGAGAGCGAAGCAACCGGAGCTGTATCTTATTAAAAGTTCTACTGAAGACGAATGAGAACCATCCAAAACAAAGATAAGAATATCCGATGGAAAAATTTGATCCCAGAGTGGCTGCGATTTATTAAATTGCAGGTTTTGGGAGAATCTGATTGGTGCTCAGAATTTTTACGGACAGACGCCTCACTGCAATCAACCTGCGAAGGTTGATCTAGATCGCCGCTGCCTGGATCACTGTTACTGTCGATGATGGATAAGACGCGTAAACGTTAAAGCCAATATTTTAGAGGAAACCTAGCTACCTCACACAGAAAAAACGGATATCAGCCTGCGGGGAGTTCACAAACGTTAGGTTGCCCGATAAACCACTTAATGTCACAAGAGTGAACAGGATACCCAGTTAAGAATATCGGATAATCAGGGCTATTTCGAACCCACCTATCAAGTCATTTCAGATAAAATCTGAATTCCATAACAGTTGCACGCTTAAGCCTGATCGTCTTCGAAATCAACAATACAATCCGGGTAGTCTTGCACACCACTCGCACCACCACTCGCACAGTCGCAATGTCCTTTAAGACCGGATGATATGGAGTTTCGTCAACACAAGTTTCGTAAGTTGGTGAATGTATTCTGGAATGGACGGCAGTCGGCAGCTGACTCGCACCACCGACAGCTGATAATGTGATGTATTTTAATTACAGACTGACTAGTTGCTGGGTGGTAACATTGGATCCGCGGTGCCGACCAGAATATGAATGCGTCAACTCACAACCGAAGCAAACGGTAGCCACTGTCAACAAGTTTTGGGCCCAATCCAGAAAAACTACCCGCCAATACGTTACTACGAGCTCTCGTGCGCGAACAATCAATCGGCATCTTAACTGCCGGGTTTTTAACTAGAAAATCTAACTTATTGTATAAAATAACACCGACAGTATCAAACCCAATTCACTGGGTCACATGCAGAGATAATTAACGGGCAGCAAGCAGCCTATCGTTTACAAAATGCTATGAGGCATTTTGGCAAACATACAGGATGGGATTGACCATCGACAGATATCAAGCAAGGCAGAGGTCTCTCAACTTGATAACTTAAAACAACATAGCATCCGAGGCTTTTGTTGGCGGTCCTGCGTAGACAAAAGCAGTAGAGAAATGAAGGAAATATCAACTCGCAACCGTTCTTGGATCTCAGATTCTGGTTTCCGATACACAGTGTACATAAAATTGAGACGAATTGGGCGTACGAGTAAGACCAAAAAAGCCTGCTGGTTTGATTGTTGTAATGTGAACAGTGAATGCAGCCGAAATGACTAAGCATTGAGGTAAGAAGAGAGATTTTAGTGAATGTGATGATGACGAGCAATCCAGAGTCGTGAGCTACAATGGTGGGATCTGTGTAAAATTCTGTACATGGGATGGAGTGAAAATGAATGCGTCAAAGTGTACTTGTCAAAAGTGGCATTTCGCTGTGTCGGGTAGGGATGATGGCCACACGCCACTGCCAACGTGGTTTATTCACAGGTGCCCTGGATGTCCCATGTAAAAAAGTAACTTCAAACACACACCCATCCCAAAATCCTGATTGCAAGGAAGGGTTAGTTGGCATAAAACTACCGGAGTAGACGGACGTCTAAGGAACTTTTAAGAAACAAATTACCACATTTGCTGGGAGATCAGACAAATCAGTATGGTTTCGATTAATGAATTACGCCGATCATCGTTCTTGACTGTATAGATAGACAGAAATAGGAGTTTCTCTATGATCTAGCCCCGCACGAACTAAATTCACTTTATCAGTTTAGCAGGAAATCGATTTTTGAATAAAAGTGTCTCCAAAACCGCCGCAAGCAACATAAGTTTTCTTGTTTTTTTGTAACAGTATTGACGGTGTCATGTGAGCGTATGTACTGTTTAGCCTTCGAAATAAGTTGTGAAAATTGCACTCTGAAATGTCCAACTGAAGTCAAATTTGACCACATCATTTATCGGCCGACGCTTCATAGATGAATGTACCTAGTGCCTAACGGGCCCATACAATTCTTGAAGTCTGCACCTCGGCGGGCCAAACCAAAGATATGAAGGTAAGTCCAAAAGCCGCGTACCTAATGGCACGACAGAATAGTGCCCTTCAGACTCTGGATAGCTCATCACACTGTCTTCACCCAATAGCTCCATGAGGTTCATCATTATTCCCAGAAAAACCAGCGAAAACTAGTACTTAGCTGCGGCAAACTGATTCATGGGAATTGGGGGAGAAAATGTCGGTAAGTGATGGGAGGTTTGAATGAGCTATTTTGATCAGGATGGTTGGGCATTCTGTAGATCCGCACTAGACATGTTTGCAGGGGTACATCAGGCAATTGTAGTACCACTAGTCGGTAGACTGCTGTCCGCCCATGCCGACAGAAAACCCTTGCTCAGACACTCATACCGATCGGTTTGCGTCTTAGATCACATACCGCTGTCTACTGCTACTGCTTAAAATTTGTTGTCATAACGAGTGTTTGGAAAGGTTCTTACGGAACATTACTATCTTTTTACCGCTTTAATGAGATCGAACTTTCGTGCAGCATGTTCAGCTGAGGATTATTATAAACGAGAGATTCAGGTTAGGCTTGTTTAGATCTTGTTATTTTAATTTCAATTTATCAGCCATAAACCGTGTGCCCTAGGCACATTGGTTCCAGCTGCTACAGTTTCGATCATCAGAAAACGGGAAAGTGGAACACACAACCAGACCTTGGAGGCGGGGGCATGTTCAGTTTGTTCGGAAATTGGGTAGCTATGAACTGAAGGCGATAGTTTCGATGCATGAGCGCCACTGACTGCGCGATTAGGTTAGTTCTGCCAATGTCATTAACCACTGGTGATTTGAGTACCGGGGTTCCCATCCAGGGAGACGGCAGTTGCCCACCCGACTAAGTTTACTGGTTAGTGTTTTCGTACTTCATTGCCAGATCATACACTGTCCACCTCTCGGTCGCTTCCACTCCGTACAGGGCTGGGAGAAAACAGCTTTGTGAGCCTGATGGTCTTCTGGCATGTGGAGTACATGTCCCAATCAGCGCAACCTATGAAGCGTGAGTAATTCATCTATCGCGGTAAAGTTCCTTCTTCCAAAGGCCATCTGGCGTACCTCAGCATTACTAATCCGATGTTCCCACCGAAACTGACTAATGTTGCGGAGACACCGATGGTCAAACACTGACATCTTCCGTATGTCCTCTGAGTGTAGGGACCACATCTCTGATCCATAAAGCAGAATGGACCGCACCACCGAAGTGTAAACTCTTCCACTGTCATACAAGCTCACGCCACGTCGGTGCCATAGGTGTCGGAGGTTGGCAAAAGCTGTCCTGACCTTTCTGATTGGGGGAATAATCTCATCTCCATCCAGTCCACCAGAACTTATACAGCTTTCCAGGTGAACAAATTCACCAACCACGTTGATTGCCTCACCTGCAGGTATGAGGTGTGGGTTTGATCCCACCCAGCCACACTTTTGTAGCAGCACTTTACACTTTGCGCATGCCAAACTGTGCGGCAGTGTTGTTTAGGTTATTGGAAACCGTTTGTGTTTGGGAAATATCTGAACCAAGGAGAGCAATATCGTCTGCATACTCAATGTCTGTGAGCGAACTCTCGAGGTTTCAACAGCATATCAAACACAAAGTTGAAGAGGAAAGGGGAAAGAGGACAGCCTTGTCTTACACCACTGGATGTGGTTAACTCAGGCAAGAGCTCCCGTATACTCATAGGCGCCCCCATGAGTTCGCATACAGTGCCCTCATAAAGGAGAGAAATTTGGAAGGGACGCCTTTAGTCGCCAGACGCTGCAAAAGTTGCTGACGATCGACATAATCAAAAGCAGCTTTGAAACCCAGAAAGACAACCAACGTGGTGCGTCTGAAGGAGTGATGCTGTTCAAGAATGTCTCAAAGTAAGGATATTGTCGATGCATTCTCGACCAGGGCAAAACCCTGCTTGATTCTCATTAATCTGTCCCGATAATCCATCAGCCTGCGCAAAATAATGCCACATAGCACTTTAAATGCGACTGACACCAGGCGGATACCAAGATGGTTTTTGCATGAGGTTCTTGCTCCTTTTTTGAAAACCGGGATGACGGTCGAGGCGCTCCATTCGGCTGGTATTCTGTCTTCGTTCCAAACCTTCTGCAGTATGGTTGTCAGACTGTTCACCAGGACCTGGTCACCTTCTTTGTAGAGTTCATGGTGTAGACTAGACCATCCGGGCCAGGTGCCTTGTCGCGCTCCAGGATTGAAACCTCACGCTGGATTTCGGTTGCTGATGGTGGGTGGGTGTCAATGTTCCATTAGGGTCCGCTTGGTTCTTCCAGCGGTTGTGTTGAAGGAGACCAGGTGAACTGTTCTTGGAAGTGTCCAGCTCACCGCTCAGGTGATTGAGGGAGTGAATAGTTGTTCCGTCTTTTTCGCATATCGTCTCATTGACACCTGTTTTCTTTTGACTCGTTGATCGGATCAGTTGAGACAGGGCGCGTGGGCCTTCGAAATAAACAACGTTCTCTGCCATTCTTTAAGCTCCTGATTAACCGGTGTTTGAGGTATCTGCGTGCACCATCATAATCGCTAGTTGCTGGTAGGGCCCTTCTGGTAGCAATAAGATCTGTTGATCTCGAAGATGTCCATTGTTCATTGAGTCGAGTCGGATGGGTTAGACAAACAGTTCTGAATTCTGACAGCATTGCTTCTTTAACTTGCCTCCATTCATCCCCCAAGCAATCTTCATCGTCCACATGACTGTGCGTTTCCAGTAGCTTTCTAGCCAGATCAGCTCGACACTCTTCAGCTACTGAAACTTGTCGAAACGGAGCTGTCTCTTCCGGTACGAGTAGTGCTGGCAGAAAGCGAAGTGCCAAGCATGATCAGAGTCAAGTTGCATACACCAGAAGGAACAGCAATCCTTAACTGAGGCTCTCCATCGGTAACTGATGGCCACATGGTCCAATTGAGTTCACCACTGTCTTGTGGTCTACAAGTAACTCGGTGTGTTGTGCGTTTGTGTTGAAGTCAGTATTGGCCAGCAACAGAGGCCGCTCTCCATTATCCGTACGCTCAGCATAGACCCCAAAATCGACCACCTAACTGTGTTTCTTCCAGACTTGGTCGTCCAGCCTGGGCATTCATATCACCCTCCAGGATTATTATATCTGTTCTTCTTGCCGACCGAAATAGTCGTGAAAGACCTTGATTAAACTCGTCCTTCTCAGTCTCACAACTGCTATCTGTTGGGGCGTATGCTGATACGACAAACAAACACCGTTTTATCGCGTCGAACTGCGTTGCGTTGATCTTAATTGAATCAGACAACCGCACAGCGCAAAGGCGGCTGTTTACTGGGATCCAGTCCAGTAAGACGCCTCCAGCTTTAAGGCTGAGTGCAACTCCCACACCATAGATACCACAAGTCATTGCGTCAGGATCACCAGATGCTCGAAGAGTGGAATGTGGAACATCTGGGCTCGTCCTAAGCGGCTTGAGGAGCACGACCGAAATGGGATCCTCTGTGCATGTTTCGGAGACACAAATTACACCAATAGAGAGGGAAAGTAAGGTCTCAGCAAGGGATACCTGTTCCCCAATTTGACATAGAGTATGGACATTAAAGGCTGCAACGTGAATCAGATCTTTCGAGGTTAGTATATGATTATTTTGGTTTATTTTTTCTGGGCGACGGTTGAGACACGGAACAGCGGCTAGGGGGTAGGAAGATGGGTAGATCGCATTGCATTGTACGATGGGTGGGGAGGGAATGAGAGTGAACGTCGGTGAGCGAAGAGCTGCAAGGACAAACAATACTTTCCGGTTGCCCAGGCCGAAGAAGGGGGGTTAGTTGAGGCATCCCACCTTGAGCATCTGACTTAAGTCTGACACAAGGCAGTGGGAGGATGTAAGCTTTTGTTCGGGGGTTCTGCCCCCAGCCCCTGACTAAATAGTCTGGACCCCAAGACAGCGGTTGTTAGGATTTTCTTGGGGCCAATGACTCTATTTGAATTGTAGGGGGCCGGCCTGGTCCCAGGACGAAGAGTACGGTATTGCTGTCTCACTCCTGATGCGGCTGCGCATAGCAGGTACCTTCTGAGTAGCAACGGGCTCTTTGGTTTTAAAAGCACTTCGACCGTATGCGCCGGTAGTCACAGTCAACCGTTGGGCGATCGGATTGTGCGGTTGTTGGGGCCGACTCCTGCTTCCTAAATATGGACATGCTTGTCGCCTGGGGGGAACACCTTACTGCCTTCACAATCCTATCGCAGATGATAGTACGAGTTTACCCCCAGACCGCCTTGTAACCCAAGCACACTGAACAGGACACAACTAGATGAATCCACCGATAGTCTCGAGGGGGGATGCTTTGAGGCTCTGAGATCTAGTTGACAAATTTAAATATTTAGTCGACTTCTACACCCTATCTATATGGCAACCAGATATAGCCCAGATATGAGCACCCGACGATTAACGGGTCCGTACCTTCGGACATGAGCTTCACATGACGTAGTAATGGTGCGGCTGGAATACTAACCAAAACCTGCACTAAAAGTTGTTTCGAAGGGCTATTGCGTACAACTACGAGCGTTCTGGAGGAGTCCCACTACGAACGCATCGAACTGACGTGCAACACCCGGTACTCCTACAGGATCGAAAATTCGCCTTCGCAACGGAGCATGTGTATCAGCAATCTAATCCACAAACTGTACAGCGCTGATGCCTGTGATTTCGATCGTCTTGAAAGGATAATTGACTTCTGCTAACTGATGACGTGGAACAACAAGGGCCAGGGATGAGTCAAGCCATGTTTAGTTACGAGATTGTGGCCCCTGGAATGACCCAGAATAGTCCGTTTATTGATAGTGCTGACATGAAGAATGCTGGAAAAACCTAATGGTATCCACTAGAGTCGTGAAAGAGTATTAACAGAAGGCAAAGGTTATGATCATACTATTTTGGGCGAGGAGGAAGAAAGCCGCAGTGGAAGTCGAAACAGTTGTTATTGTTATTGTTAATCAGGGTAAGATATTTTATCGGTAACACAAGTACTTATAACCTCTTTCCAGTTCTCTCTAAACAACCTCAACCTGCTTCTTGAGTCCACCGAATTGGTAATCCGCTCTTTCAACTCCCTAGCTTTCTCCATCGCAATATCGTGTCGACATTCAGTTTTTATCCATGAGCGAATACGATGCGACAAATAGTAGCAATACACTGAGTCAACTACTCAAAATGTGACCAGGGAAGGCTTCACCCCCTTCCCCGGCCATCGTTTGAATTAGTTCCGTGTCCCAATGGGTGTCAACATTACGCACGATGCCGAGTAAAACATGCACGAAGGTTACCAGAATTCTACGGAAAAACTGAATGGAACGTAGGTAACACAACGCAGTTGAGAGACTATCTAGAATGCACATTCATTTCAGTCATTGAGCCCGGGGTCATCCGATCCTAGGTACATCAGTGTCGACTTCCACTTCCACGGAGAAAGGATATTCCTCAAACTCACGCAAGAATGCAAGTGCGTCAGTAGGATGAAAGGGTCTTATTACCTGAGTCTGGATTGTAACAGCATTTACAGGACAAGGACAGCCATAAGATATTAGCGAAGTCCAAAACAACGGGTGGCACGAAATAATGTATTTAAACTAGTATGTACAAATGAACCGGCGGGAAGAAGCTTCGGTCGACCCTACAAATCATATACGGTCGGTTTCTGTCTATACTGTTTGGTCAACGAGGACATTTTTTTCTGTATCAGGCGACTCTCGTTTGCCTTGGCTTTCCTGAAAGAAGAACAGTAAGGCACAATATAAATAAAATGGCACATAGAGATGCAGTCTTTAATTTCGAGGGAAAACTTCCAGGAGGCGGACATAGGCGGTCCCTTCTGAAAAACCTTTCCTGAGGGAAGGGCGATAAAAAAAATGAGAATACTTCCCGGAAAAAGTCTGGCAATATAGGTAGTTTACTATTCGCTGAATTCACCGAACAAATCCTTAGAGTCCTCCAACCTCCAACCTGTACTTCAATGCAGATGGTTCAGATTTTAGGTCTTTTTGAGCGGCATTAGTGGTGATAAAGTGACTAACTTTAAAAGACAGACCCCGTTTCTTGTCAAGCATCAATGAGCATTCTTCGATGGAACCAAAAAGATCATCTAGTTAAACGCTTAATAAACAACGAATTAACTAAGCTCCATTTCAATATACAGCCAAATCCCGAAAACCTCAGCCGTACAAAGCTTGCTCCCTCACTGGAGTCCCTTAATAACATCGGTGGATTTGACCCCTTACCTCGCGCGGTTTAGGTTTTCGGGATCCGACTGTACCTTTAGCCCAAATATCTAGTCAAACTAAAGGCATAGTCCTTGGTAATTATCAGGCCAGTCCAGGGAAGTGAGGACGAGTTAGACTTAAAACTCGGCCACTCACCAGTAGTTATATTGTTCTAACTACTGAAAATGTTTTCGAACCTTCGGACATTCACTCGTCAGTCGCGTTTCCGGTTACAGATTTCTCGTGGAAAATAGCACCACTGTGGATTTGCAGCTGATGATGACGATACGTTGCAGGTGAGTAGACAAAGATCGATCTCATTTCAAAACAAATGAGTCGGTAACTACCAACGTCAGGCAGTCGAATAAGACACAAAACCAACGGAAATAGGTGCATGCAGACAAAATGGGTCGGCGCACATCCTTTAACATACGTGAATGAGGTCATTGATCGGAATCGCTCATTCGCTTCCTGGCGAACGCATAGCAATCGCAAAATAGATGTATTCTAAAACCTAGAATTGAAGAAAGCAGTGGAACCGGTTTGCTGCGCATTCATAATCATTATTCCGGCACTGTAGATTGACAGTAAATGTGCGAATGGTTGCGGTTATGAGTTGTATCCGCAAGTGCTGCAAGCCGTTGTTATCTGTGGGACCTCGCTTTCCGTAGCTTTTCTACTCCAAGCCTCCGTGGCATTTTCCGGCCTCCTGGAGATTTTTAGCGCTTCGCCCCCCAGTCTTATGAGTAAAACATGTCGAGGCCGGTGATGCATGAGCATACGAAGCAAGTGCACTCTCCATTCGTGTTTTGTGAACGACATGCCCGATGGTTTGCTTATACACCCTGTTCCAGTAACAATGCAGTGAATTTCCTCATTAGTCATGCGATGTTCTTACCACATGCGGATGATTCTTTCAAGACAATGATGGTTGGAAGTCAGACATTCGCTATGTCTGGATGACATACGGTGAAACTGCACGTACCCTTTTAGCCCAACGCTGACGCAGCGGGTCCATGGATTTTGTAGCTTTGCAAAACGCACTGTACGCCTTCGTCACGCGATCGGCCACCACTTTGACCACACCATTGATTCAAAAACAACTCATGTGTAGTTCTCGAGAGTGAGTTGGGGAGCTGTCCAAAGCCGACCACTCCAAAGTGTCGGGTCAAGGTTGCGAGGCTAACCATGATGTGTAGTAGAGCTTGAGCTGTATCACACGTCAAAAGAACACCGTAGTCCGGTATCTGGGATTCGGCCTCAACCTTTAAAGAATGAGTGCATGATGTTTTCCTGTAAATCGAAATCGGTAACGAAATTACATAGATGTGACATCGGACGATCCTTTAGCAAACCACTTATGCCTTTGAAGGCGCTCAACAAGTGGTCGTTGCCCGGGGTGTGTCCTTAAAACCAGGGGATGATGCCGACGTACTCCACAGGCACAACATTCCTTAGCAAGGACCCACCATTTCCACATTCAGCGTCCAGCCCTGTCAGCAATCGGGTCTTGTCTTCGTTGCGGTGGTTAACAACAGATGGAAAGGGAGTATCAGGAATAAGAGATAATGAAACATTTGAACTCTTCTAAACCTGAAACTGGAAAGTGGGCTTGTCTAGAGTAGATCGAACAGCTGGTTGGTATAGGCCCCTCATTGACCGCACTTTCATAGTGCTTTATAACCGAATGAGGTGGTTCCGCGACATCCATGAAACTGAGGATGATAGTCCCACAATGGGTATGCCGAGGTTCCAGAAAGCGCAAATGCTGATCTACACATCTTTCAGGGCGAAAGGTTGCCATCATCATCATCATCATTGTCTGTCAGAAGAACCGCGTACTCGCCGTACACTGGTTGTAGCTGCCACAGTTTCGTTCACCGATGATTTGGGGAAGGGGGCTGCGTATTGGAGGCAGGAGCTGATAAATTGGCGCATAAACCCAACATTGTCAGTGGGCTGTCAAGTGGGGGGATTGGGAAGGAGGCTAAGCATTGAAGGTAATAGCTTGGATGCACGAGCGCCACTGAGGCCGCGACTGGGCCATATTTGACAATATCTCTAACCATTGATGTGGCCCGTCTCGGGGTCCCCATCCAGGAAGACGGCAGTGACCAGCGCAGCTGAGCTTGCTGGTAATGGCTTTCATACTTCGCTGCCAAGTCATTG